CATTTGAAGACACACAAAACAGAGGAGTGTATTTCTTTTAGGGGCAACCCTGAAATTTCTCTTTGTGTTAGTCTTTAACGTTACTTAAATAGCAACTTTCTACTCAGTTGAGGACTCAAAGCACTTTCTACTGTAACCGTAAGTGTCACCAGACACTCCAGTGGATGTGTCAGGCTCAGCATCTTGCCGATAGAACCCGCTCTACCACCACCACTACACTTACATCGAGTGTTTTGTTGGCGAGGTAACATTTAGATGTTAACTCCTCTTCTCCTTTATTTCCCCATTGACTCAAAGTGACGATGGCGTGAAGGGTGGGGGAGTGTTGGACGGGTTAGCTGTGTCCAGGCAGCCTCATTAACATTTGAGTCACACTGTGTTATTAGCGGCACTGAACGGTGTCCGGAGCTCATGTTGCGCTCCAGACCCCTGCAAAGCTGCTGTGGCTAATTACGAGTGGCAGAAGTTACCTCAAAAATCACAGTTTTTTGGATTTAATGGATCTCATTTAAAGTTAATGCAGCATGAGTGCCGATCGGCCTGAAAACCACCTCTGTCACTTTTTGTCGGATGCGTTTGGGAGGTGGTTCGTCCACGCCATCGTGCCCAGTGATGACCTTATCCTGTCCGGTGACACGTCTGTTCACAGCCTCTGTCACACACACACACCTCCTCACTGCCTCACAGCCAATCCTCTCCACCAATCACATCCTTTTGATGGCTTGAGGATGAGGAGGATTTGAAGATGAAGGTGCCTATTTATCAGCTCAGCTCAACATGATACCCTTCAGCTCCTGCACCTCCTACATCCCGATTGGTTAGGGTTTCTTATAGTTTGGGGATTCTTGCAGCATCATCTCCAGCGTTGAAAGCAGAGTCTGGGAACGTAAGAGCTGAGTTGTTCTGTCTGCGGTTTGAGGTGGAGATGTTTCGCTCTCAGGTGCTTCTCGTGGCTCTGGGTTTGTCTGTGCTGCTGGTGCGGGTGAGCACGGCTCCATACAGCGACATGCTGACAGAAACACTGAGAGCAGACCTCACAAATGACAAGGTGAGTAAATGCTGCATCAGGAGCTAAAATATATAAACAATTTTGTACTGGAACAGGTGTTTGAACTTCCACGCAGTGCCTGAGGAACCCCGTCCCCTCCATTTCTGTCCTCCTTTAGGACCTGACTCACTGGCTCTTGCTGAAGTTCATGGCTGAACTGATGGCGGCGAGAAGAGACGAGACGCGGCGAGGCAAGGAGGAGGTGACGAGGCGACACCTCTCTCTGTCCCAAAGAGAGCGCAAAGCAGGCTGCCGCAACTTCTTCTGGAAGACTTTCACCTCCTGTTAACAGCAGGAGTATCTTTTGTTTTTACAGATCAGCCGACGCATGTTTGATTTCTTTGTGGTAACCGGATTATTTACCGTAAGATAACAAATGTGCAGATACTTTAAAAGTTTTAAAGACTAATAAAATTATATGTTTCAAGATCGGCAGGTACACACTTCTGAAATAAATTTTCTGATTTTAAATCCTGAATTCTCGCTTTTCTGTGAAACTGGTACCGATGAGATATCCCGATTCTGTCTACATCAAACCCCAGCTTTCCTGGATCCTACATTTCCCACAATGCAAGTCGATAACATCTTTTGGTAATGTGTTTTTGTTTTTTTAAACTTTTGAACACAGTGCAGCAGATAGCATTAGAGGGAAATCATTCACAGATAGATACAAGTTACTTTTTTGATAAAGCCATTTGAAAACATGAGTGACTGGCTCAGCTTGCAATGTAAAAAGTATTATATAAATCACAGATAACCCTGATTAACCTGGCGAATGTAACGAATACCTGGGCAGCAC